GTCTTGAAAGCGAGAACATTGATTTTGGACAGCAATTGTCCTTGAGCACACACAAAACTGACAAAGAGAATTTCAAAGTCAGAACAGTTTATAGAAATGACAAAGAAGTGCAATGTAAACATGTAAGAAAGCATGTTGCGGTGCGGCTTACGAACACAAGTGGTAATAAATTCAAAACTAAAATATTTTTTCGTTGACAGTAGGTAAGGCCAGACAAAATTGATACGTAGCTTTATAAGCGGCGACTCTCTGTAAACAGAGTTAGTAAAATATATATTTTTTCCCTTTGAAATTGTGAAGATAAACGTACAAAACGTTTAAATAATTAATGTTAAAGTCGCTTTTATTCTTTTTTCTTAAATAGGGGGAGGTAACAAATGCACAGTATATAGGTAATTTAAAGCAAAGATACACCACAAAGTATGATTCCTTTGCAAAGATAGGTGAAAAATTTTGTTTTCGTCAAAATTACGTTGTCGTTAAGAATGCAAACTTGTACATGTGCAATGATAAAAAGAAAATAAAAAAGAAATTCAACGAAAAGGTATAATTGATGTCCAGGCACGTTGAATGGTGAAAGATTTCAAAATCCTTTCAAGAATAAAAAAAATTTAAAGATGCCAGCAATTTTCACCTTAAAACAGGAAAGATTCAACTAAATTACATACGTACAGTTGTAGGTGTACTTTACCCAGCGGCAAATACTTGAAATCAAAATCAATATTTGACACGGGTGTCAATTAGCCGTGTCATAACATGATTTCCTGTGTGTTTACAATGTACTTTTTTGTCTCTTCTAGTGACTTAGAAATTCTCTTTGTCTGTTATGTGAGCACTTAAGGACAACTGCTGTCCAAAATCAATGTTCTCACTTTGAAAGAAGCCAAGTCTTTTTCGTATGTGCTAGGAACCACAGAAAAAAGAAGCAAAACAAAACAAACGTTTTATCTTTTGACCATTTTTTCGTCACAGGTGAAGTCAAAAGACGATTGTTTGCTTAATTGACCCGGTTTAGAACAAAAAAATTATTGTGGTAAAAAAACAGATGTTGCTTCACGATTTTATTAAGTTTAGCATGAAATATTTAAAAAATATACTTTCAAAATAATGCAATGCAAACATTTTGTTCAATAAAACCAAATGTTTTGAAAGCAATTCAAGTCAAATGGACGTATATATACATCATGGTTCCATGGCAGTCCTTAAATTATTTATACACTCGAAGTAATGATGCTGCGTATGAAAATCGGCGTGATAGTAAGACAGAGGGGCGCATTTTTCTTTTCAAACTTTATCTTTTTCTTAAAGAAATGCACGACCGGAAACCTGATACGGTGTAGTCGTTTCTGATCTCAGACACTTGCACAAGCCAATCATTCGATAGGAACTGTGCACTGATTTATTACTTTAAACCTTTGGAAAATTCACCATGCGGGGATTTTACTTATCCCTATGGTACACAGTGTTAGGGTTCTTTATAAAATATATCTGTGCGGCCACTGTTGATCTGTGTGGCGGCCTCTCCCGTGAACTCAGATGTGCCAATTTTCAGCAAGTTTTCACCAACTATACCGCCACCCTTATACTGGACGCTGTAGAAGCGAGCACCAAGTTGGAGTGTACCGAGAAATGTGGAGAAACTGACGGTTGCGCGGCAGTTGTATTCAAAAACCATGATCACACGTGCCATATGCTCCCTCAACTCCAAAATGTCTCGCAGTTTTCTTCCACTTCCCCAACTGGGATATGGATGGCCAATGTTAAAGACATCTCCGTAAGTAGTTTCCCCTTTTTTATTTTTTTTAATTTTAACTGTTTTCAGATGCACATCATTTTAATGCATATCGAGGCTTAAGACAGGTGTGTATAGCCTCGGTCACAACCGGCCGTACGGGCTCTTACGGACTGTTTGCGTCCAAACGTTGCGCAGAATCTCACGTCCCACGCAAGTCCTTCTTACGAATTTTCGAGTTCGCAGACAGCCCGTAAGCACGTACAGATTCTACGAATAACCTGCGGACAGCAAGGCCGCAAGCGTAACATGCTCCCCTCGCAGAGTTCGCAAGTATGTCGTGCGTGGTCCAAGACGCAAGCAATGAAGGAGCAAGTACCCTTTGCGTGTTGAGTAAGGCGCACACCCATCCAGGTAACGAACGAAGTCGAAAGCACGCCGGGAATGCGTCGCACGTACGTCACCCCCAAGCCTGGTGTATAAAAGGCGTGCTCACGACGCACGCTCATGTCTTGACAATGAAAGTCGATTGTGCAACGTGTACAACAATTTTCAAAAAATTCAAATTTTGCTAAATTTAGCTTCTAGTACCCCTGTATGCCTCCCTTGGAAGAGAAAGAAACTTACAGAGCAAAAAAGAAGGGGGGAGGAAGAAGAAAGACGGGGTGAAGAGGAGGCAAATTTGACGCACGTCGTCGTACGTCATCATAAGTGTGTGAGGCAAGTGCAAAGCAAAAGTGAAGCGAAAGGGAACTACTTTCGCTGTGCGTTGCATTCTCTTCATTAGCGGGAGTGCGTGCCACGAACGCAGGTAGCAAGACAAACCCAAGAAATGAGTACAATTTCCGCGGCCATCGCACCTTGCAGTTAGCGTCCCTGCTTCAAAGGACATCTCACGTGGCCCCTACGACTCGCAAAGCAGACTTGCGCCTTTCCATTGAAACCTTTCTTCTACTTCTACGAATTCCACGGCCTCCACTGCACCCAAAAATCGTAGGGGACGCACGGTCCTTATATTCGTGCGTCCGGTTGTGACCGAGGCTTTAGTTTCGCAGCTAGGTACCCCCTTGTTCCCAGTCTCTCCATTAAAGAAAAAGTAAAAAGGCATAATGACTTGCAATTAACGAAAAAAACTTGGATTTACATCCTTGTGCCGTACATGCTTGCATTATTTTTTTCCATTTGCCCCCTGCACGCATGCAGTGCTTTACCTTTTTTACTTGAGACTTATTTCACGTTATTTACAAGTTTTTAAAAAAGATAGTGATAATGTTTTTAAAGCTAGCTATGAATGTGTTCCCGGATAGATTTTTTTTTCAATTCAATTTCAATTTATTTCTGTACTGGTACATAAATAATCAAGATCTTGTACAATGTAATATGATTTTAAAAAACAATACAAGTAGTGCATTGCCAGTCTCTAATTGGTAATTGAATTGCCAGTTTGTGAGTGAACAAGTATATATCTTTATATAATGAACACATGTACTAGTTTAGTTTCTAATAAAATATTCCAGCTAGGCAGTGAGATTTAACGTCTTAGTGTAATTCAAGATTTACCATAGACACAAACCTTGAAGCATGTGGCTACAATCATAAGTTACACAATACGAAGCGTTTCAAATTTACAAGGAAGGGAGAACTACACATATAAACTAACAGATAAGTAAATAACAAAGCTAAACTGATATAAGCATTGTTACCCTTGACCATGCGGCTGGTTGAGTCCCACTGCCGAGTCACTTCTCACAACAGTGAGACCATAAACTGACATTTTTTCAAGGAATATGCTAAGAGTTACCAAGGAGAGCAATCACTTCATTTCTTTTGAATGATTTTGCTATAAAAATGGAGAGATAGACTAAATTCTCTTTGTTGACACTGTTAAATATTTTGCATAATATAATTCATTAATATACGGCCTATCAGGGGACCACGAGAGATAAATGAATTATGCTTACCTTTGTAGTCGCTAAATAAAGCATTTTTTTTTTCAATTATGCAGGTAGCAACGTTATTGAAGGGTTGGTTTTTTGCATGATAAAATATCTGTTTCAGACCTTAACGTAAAAAAAATAACGAAGACCTCTAATTTTCAAGTTAACGTCACAACATTTATGACGAATAAATAGACTGATATAAATTTATTTCAGACGCAATGAATTTATGTTTCAAAAATGGACAAAGCAATTACATCAAGTATACATAGAATTCAGACGAAGTGATGGCGAAAAACATGTGTATAAATGAACGCCACGATTATTTATGAACACTAGCGTTTTTCGTATAACATTTACCCTGGCCTATGGCGTAATGGCGAGAAGAGATAGTTAGAGAGAGAGAGAGAGACCACTTCGGTAAAATTTTGCCAGTTTTTATGAACAATTTCCTATACACCAATGTGAGCAGCAACCAGCTCATGGCATTCCGCTCAGTAACATATTCAAAATATGGTCATTGTTAAATCTGACATGGGTGCAGATAAGTATAAAATCTGTATTTCCATATAATATTTTACGCATTTACACACACTGGACAATAGAAATGTCACCCCTACTGAACCAATACTTTGGGGGAGATAATGACTGTGGAATGATATGCTCCTGGTATCATTTTATTAACATCACATTTCACAAAAGAAACAGTTCTGACTGAACAATTCAACTGTATCGAAATCCTGACATTGCTTATATTCCTCCTCTTCAAGTTAATAACTTTGATTACTCTGATTCAGGGGGTGACACTTCTATTGTCCAGTGTGTGTAAAAGCTTACTGTATAGTGAGAAATAAAAAACACCAATAGTTCATTGAAAATTGTCAATAGCTCATATCCATACTCGTTATTGCAGCCCAGGGATGAATTTGAAGGAGTATGCTCTACTGTGAAGTGCAGTGAGGGGTCTCGATGTCGTGTAGATTGCATCACTCAAGAGCCAGTCTGCGTAGGTTTGTACAACATTTAAAAGCATGATCCCTCAACTGAGTTGAAACCCGTTTGAGGGAGCTCTATACCTTAATATATAAAGGACTATATTTAGGGAAATAGCAAATTTGCTTTGTGGAACTGATCCCAGGAGTGATTCTATACTATTCTGGGCATATTTCGTCTATTTTTTAAAAAAACATCTTTGTGGTTTATGGAACAGACCCTTTAACCAGGAGAAACCTTTCATTCAAAGATAGTTGCCGCGTACTATTGACTTAATTCGAGTTTGTTTTCGGATATTTGAGACAATTTTTAAGAACCGAATTAAACAGTTGCTGAAAATGACTGAGAATGTTCCAATTATATTGTTTGGCAAAAGCAAGAACAGCCCCGGCAGCAGTGCTTGTATTTACCTCGATGAAGATGTAAATGTTCGGGCAACATCCTTAACGAAACATAATTTGCAAGATGTATCTCTGCATAGACAAAACGTCATTACATAGCAGTACATGTAGTGGTTCTTCTTCGCATTTTATCTAGGGAGTATTCTAATATTACTTGTTAGTAATTTTGAGTGTCCTTTTTGTAACCTTTTTATCATATATATATATATATATATATATATATATATATATATATATATATATATATATATATATATATACTCAATAATTGCCTACAAGTTAATGGCGAAAAGACTACGTGTATCATCCTCCACGTATTAATTCATTGTACCGGTACATCTGATCCCTATTTTCTGCCCTCTAGTTTGAAATAAAAGTTAAAAGTTAAGCCCCTTGGAGACTGAACTGACGAGAGTTTCAATACCAGGCAGTAGATACGTAGTTTTATGTACTTAATATTACAGGGAGTTCAGCTTATTGTGATGAGACTCCAGTTTCCAATGTCGTCTACTCTGGTTGGGATGGTCAGTTGGGTACGGTGAAGGGAAGCGGACCAGTGAGTAAACACAGAGACATTGTCCCTATAACATACCACTTTCTAGTAAATAAACCATCCAATCCCTTATGTTTAATAATAAGGGATAACAGATATTACATATTTGTGTCGTTTGAGGTGATTTGGTTTCAGTATTTAGTCAGTTGTTATTTTTTATCAGTAGATGCAATTAACATCAAGCCCACAAAACATGTAGTTAAGTTTAAGTGGATTTTACTATTATACTGCTTAGTTTGATATTTTCAGATGCTACATGTATTAGTAAAATTTAAAAATAAACGCTATCTACATACACCGACGTGTACTAATACAAGTCCAAACAAATCTTAGAGGAAACATTTTGGTGGATGCTCTTGTGAGCAGGTTTATTATTATTATTATTATTATTATTATTATTATTATTATTATTCCTAATCCACACTGCTCATATTAATTATTAATATTATATGCATTATATAAATACGGTATATAGTAATTTGGTGTATAATTACAGAGTTTCACTTACAACAAGATACAGGACAGTACCGGATTGAGAATCGAATTTAGTGGAACAATACGCGCCGCCTTTCAATGCGTAAGATGTGGATCTCTATTCTTCTTTCACATAAACGGAATACGTTGTAGGAACCCCCAGTCGATTAATTTTTTTGAATATCACACTACAAGTCGCAACAGAATGGAACATGGTTCAGGTAACTTTATATATATATATATATATATATATATATATATATATATATATATATATATATATATATATATATATATATATGCCTATCTAATTATCAGCAATGTTTATGTATTATGTTTCATTACAAATAGTGTTGTTTTTGTTATGCTGGTACATGTGACTTAATATTTTTTTTTTATAATTTTATTCTTATTTGTGTTATGCCATATACCTTGTGTAACGTTGTATTATTTTATGCTGTACTGCCAAAATAGCGAATTCGAAAGGCCGTGTGTGTTATGTTGTCATCATGTTTTTTTATTTGTTATTTTGTGTTTTATTTCTATTCATTAATATATAGACTTGACATTTAATATGGAGTATTTTTCCAAATCATTTTTTCTTTGATATTTTTCCTTCTTTTTGGACAATTATGAATGAACATTAGAATTTAAATATTGTTTTAAGAACTTCATATTATCTTTTCAGTATAATTGCGACATCAGTTCTTCAATCGAATTCACCTTATTAGGCAAACAAAAATACATTGCCGATTGTTTATCAAACAACCACCATTAAAAGCGTTTTTTTTTTCTTTGCTCTCGATTTTTTCCAAATTATCATATGTTGAGGAGTTAAACGCTCCACAAAGAACGCTTATATCATTGTCTAATTGCAACAATGGCCAGTGGTGCGTTTGTCTTCATCTGGTTGCTATTATGACTCTAAAGTGGCAAGGTGTTCCTGCTGACAGATTTCCTGGAGTTTGAACTGGTATTATTTGGTTTAGATTTGTTGTAGGACCAGTATGATTTTGGCAAGTTCTGGCTACATGAAGACTGTCCATAGCTATAGGTTTTTTTTTAATCTGGCAATCTTGATTGTCGCGGCAGCTGCATAGACCCTTGGTTCTGTAAGTAATTTGCAATACAGGTGCCTCGTTTAATTCATCTTGTAATGTAAAAGAGTTCCTGAGGTGCCCTCTGGCTAATTTAAGGCAGTTGGTTTCCAAAATATTCTTGTATCTAGTCTGGTTCAGGTTTCTATATATGACTATCAATGAGGTTTTGGCACCAACGTGAATCTGTCCCAAATGCAGATGCTCCCACCGCCCCAAGTTGCCCTGGGAGCGACAAACGTGTAGTCGTAGGCCTTGTCGGAAAGTCTATAAACACTTATTTGACCACCTTGGCGGTACAGATGATATCTTGACTCATAAGTGTAACCCATATGTTTCAAGTGCTGTTCCCAGAAACGTTAATGGCTCCAAACTCATTGCAGAAATGAAAGATGATGTTTCGCTGCTTAAACCAGTCTGGTACTTCCCAAGAAAATCACCACACATTACGTAATACAACAGTGATTCAGACAAGGCAGTCAGTTGTTTGTTACTTACACACCTTACTTCAAATTTATTCAGCCTCAAAATTCATATGAAATGCGCGTTTTAGAAATAAATAAAACATTTTTACCTAGTCATAGAAATTAAAATATTTCATGTAAAATGTCAAGTCTCTCCATATATTTATTTGACATGTTATTGCTTTTGTGGTACACTTTGCATTACAGCCAACACCATAAAGTCTTATGAAATATCACTGAGGATACTTAAGTTTTGAAATTTGGTTCATTAACTTAATAGATACATCAGCATATATACTATAGATATGAAAGAAACGGACACGCATTCATCATAATTACCAACCTGCAACGAGCTCAACAGAAACTGTCTTTGTAACACATTTATTTCTAGTGTCTGGCATCTGTTGGGGTGTTCCTGCTGGCATTACCACCATTAACATTTATGCAAAGAACACAAGCGGGGATGGAGAAGCATATCTTGGTTGGAACGCGTACTCCTACTTCAAATTTGAGGAAATAGAAGCTAATCCTGGACAATGTTAGTACCTTTGTTTTTAATATTTTCTGATTAACGGTAATTGTTTTAGAACTTGATTATAAAAAGAAAACTCCTTGTATAATTGTCTTGAAATTGTACCATCTATTACAGTAGGATAGCCTGATATAACAAGTCTAACAGTGATAAGAACCCCTCGCTCCGAATGTTTTAGTATGAATTGATCTAGGTAATGAAACATTAAAGCTTATACTTCAGTACACCTTCAGGGTTTCAAGTTTTTGTTTTGTGTCATATTTGGAATAATTTCAACACAAAAGTTCCAACTGATTCATTCCATCCCTTGGTCCCCAACATACATGTAAGAATTCAATGTGAAGACTATATACTCTGCGCAATTATTCCCCGATGCCACACCCAGACTACGAGGAGTATGTGAATACGTCACCAAGTCAGGGTATGAAGACTCGTTTGCCTTTGGTCAATTTTGGCTGGATTTTTAGCAAATACCAGTTAACCAAAGTATTCTGTTTAGCATACCACGCACTAGTGACATCACAGTTAGAAACCAGGCGATTATCTATGCAGGTTCAGGCACTTAAATATAACATACAGAAAATGACGGACGAATTCGAATTGACAGAAAGATTAACAACAAATATTTTTGGAATAGAGCTATTATTTTGTCGATAAGAATACATCAGTAATTTGAGCAACAGTGTAAATGTTTAACTTGTACGGTTTGTCGTGGTACTGATTTTTTTTCATTTGTTCACAAAGGACCTCTTACTATATGTGGTGATATTGTTTTTGTATAATAATCATTTAGAAGCACTTCGTACATGTTGAAATGCATTAAAGAGTGATGACCTTAATTTTTGCGCTTTATTGAACACTTATAGAATATCCAATGATCAGATTTTTAGGTGATATAAACCAAACACTGCATCCAAGTGTATTCATTCCTGTATCATATACGTTACCAGGTTATTTATCCATTTATCCTACTTTCCAGCGCAGTGTGAGAGTCTGACCGTTTTTAACATCATGGATTTTGCGTCACTAGACAACATTCGCGTAAAAGATGAAAACATTTATATGGTAATTGATGTGAATTATTTTCCCTCTCTCTCCCACTCTTCCGCTTTCTCTCTCTCTCTCCCGCTTTCTCTTTCTAGACGAGGAAGAATCCAAAGAATACAAATTCGCTGTTCAGTTCTAAATTTTTTTATTTATGAGTCGCCAGATGAATGTATATTAAAATGGGGGAATTTCACTGGTGACGGTGAAAAGTAGATACTGTATTTTGTCAATGGAATGGACAACAAAGAGAAGATGGTAATTTTTCCAGAAAAATGTTTTATATAAAGGCCTAACTTGCAATTTGTGCATTTGAGTAAAGGACGAGGAGTGGGACCCTATTGCATTTTTAACAGTGAATAGCGCATCTTTTTTCAGTTTGATAATTCAAATACAATGTAAAGGGGTAGTCATAAAAGCGTTTTTTATATCATGACTTTTATTTCGCGTTGCAATTTCTGAGATGTTCAGTTTTATAAGACCGTTTCTGTTTGGCATATTTCAGAGTGGTTCATACTTAAAACGAAGCTCGAACACGGCACTGGCAGTCTACTGGACGGGGAATCTTCATGAAATCGGAGCAAATTGTGCCAGATGGTATTTCAAATTTAATGGCGCCGAGTGCGCCGATCCCGGTACGATAGATGGCGCTGTGTACATGGCAAACGACTTGAGATCTGACACATACAGGACTTTTGAGTGTGAGTAGGAAACCTTCACTCTTTAGAAAACAGTCGTATAGGACTATGCAAATAATTCATATCATATTATTTAATTCAAGTGTGTGTAGCAAATTCAAAAAAGAACGACCGGTCATAGAGACAGTATTTTCATTTTTTGATCTCACCGTGCGGGTTTGCATTTGCGTTTATTTTCAGTTTCTGGTGTTTGTAAAGGAATTTCCGCGGGGGTGGTAAATATATCACTTCACTGTGGAGTGTGCCCCTGGAACATCACGACAAGCGGCAACCCGTCCACTGGATGGTATACAGCATCGAGAATAAGGGTGGAAGAAACTCGGCTGGGTTTGGATACAAGTGCACGTGAGCAGACGCATTTACTATATTGGTTCTTCTTTGCTTTACAGATGTTTACTGGTTTAAGAGAAGCCTGAATCATCAGGTTTTTGATAGCTTAATTAATGCATTTAACACATTGGTTGAGCAAGGAGCTTTGTAAATGAAATGGGATGGCCACAAAAAAGTTAACACAATTGTTTTACTGTGATAAGTAAGGCAAAAGGGTGGGAAAGCTTCTTTGGTTTGTCTTTTTTCTGTCGAAATGCTGTAAATAAGGGGGTACATGTAGAAATAGAAGAATTGGTTATTCCAAAACAAGAGGGGTATGTACTAGTATCTGCTGTGCCTCACCCTGGATGTGCAATATTGTTCATGTAAATTTGCACCCGTGTATTTTATTAAGGGTTTGGTGGCGTCATATGGTCCTCGTCATTATGTTGTTTCTCCCGCCAAATACACTGTACCAACTTTTGATTAATAGTTTAAGCCTATTGAACCAGCGTTAAAATATTGTACATTATACATGTGTTTTTTATCTTTTAGTATTAGACCATACGGGAAAAACAGCTACTCGAATACCAATCTTCAACCGGCAATATTGGTGGTGGCCAGCTCAAGACATTATTATGAACGTTGGAACACTTTACGTAAGATCCTTTTTATATTACCTACGTCACTGCAGTGATTGTTTGTGGCTGACTCATGCTCAGTGTTGTATTTTCAGCCAACGTGATATTTGCTAAATAGTGGTGTACTGAGAACAACAAATGATTCGCAAAGTGCATAGTTAATAAAGTGTATGATATAATATAGTCTTAAGAGATTCCTTTTTTCATCCAAAAGAGAACGAGACAAAAGATGTTAAATTACCTGTATGTGCAGAAATTTTCAACTGCTGTTTGCTGCAGGCTTCTTCAGTGCCCATTTCCTCAACAAAGAGCAGTTAAAAATCTCTGCACATACAGGTAATTTAACATATTTTGCCCTGTTCTCTTTTGGGTGAAAAAAAATGAATCTCTTAAGAATATATTATACATAATACATCCAGATGAACTTATTTTCTAGAGTATGATATACATGTAGTTTTAAAGTAGCCTTCAGTCACATAGCTACTTTTGTACTTCTGAGTCTCATTTTTTTCCTTTTTAGACTGTGACATACAATAAGAAGTCCAGCATCAGTGGGTTAAAAGTGCTCTGGTCAGGGAATGCCCAAGAATTAGGTGCTCCCTACGGCTGTTCGCGATGGTACTTCACCTTCAACGATAACGAATGTAGCAACCCGGGAAAAATTGAGAGCATCAAGTTCAATGTTTACTATGAGGCTCTCAATGAGGTCGTCTACTTTAACAACCCATTTACAGGTATGCTTTGGTAATTTTTGTGTTCGTGTTAATGCTTCTTCTAACTCTGCTAGCTGAGGCATTGTTTTCCTCTTTCGGACAGTATTTGAAAGCAATTTACGTAACTACATTCACGCTTTACGTTAACACAGTTTTTTAACTCACAGAATTAAGCCTCAACCTTCAACGTAGACGACCCACGTTTCTAGTCCTGTATTTATTAAACGTGTACATACCACATATACTTCTCCATACGGATTTTAAATTTCAGTTCAAGGCACTTGCCAGGGGATATCAGCCGGTGACGTCACTGTAACTTTAAAAGTAGGTCTTTGCGGCCTTAACTATGTGGAGCAGGAGACGTTAACATCATGGGGAACGAAGACTTCACTGATGATAGAAGAAACATTTCACGGATAAAAGAACCCTATTGTAACTTTTCATGCAGCCTGGACAAAAAGGAATCGCAGGTGCATGAACAGTCGCGTTAAACGCATGTAGAACAGGCTGTTGTGCAATGCTGTTGTAAAAATAGTTTAATCAACACAGCCGATTATTATTCAAGAAGATAAATCTAAATGACTGATACAATACTTCAGGATCTTGCCTTGTTCTTGTGTCAACGTGGATCATAGACGGTATAGGAAATTAATTAAAATATATTATATTGTCAACAACTGAGCGTTTGGAGGCTTTTTCGTCGATTTGATATTGCAAAGGAGTAAAACTGTACTAACTAATCTGCATTTTTTTTTTTCAGATAAGTACGCCCCTTACGTTCTAGTGGTTGGTGTCATTCGTAAAATGATGTACTTTCCCAGTGATTTTTCTATCTATCGTTGCTTTACCTGGATAACGTACATAATGGTTAAATAGGTATTCGAAATCTGCTTGATGTTTGGAGTGAATTAGGACAATATTTAACCTAATTTATTTTGTGTAATCCAACAGCTATCGAGTAAAATTTATATTGAAATAATGTTCACTAATGTGAGTTCGTTTGTTCTTGATTATTTGTATTTGCAACTGTAGACCTATGTGTGTTTTAAATCACAATAGCATTAACAAAATGACAGGTTTTCTCATGAAATAAAAGGGTGTATATAACGCGACTATGTGTACACTTAAATACTCGAACTCTTTGCATTTTTACGTTTAATCTACATTCGTAAACTGCTAAAACTACTGCATGTAGTAGTGCATATTTTAAAACCGAAATCTTTCATTTTACTTACCAGATTGACCCCACCTGCTTATGCCAAAATTACAATTGAAAGATGGGTTGCTTTGCAATGAGATATCTTTTTACTCAATATATATTGCAGAAATTACGATGTAAGAAGGATTAAACCACCCCCACTTCAACACACCAAGCCACACAAAAATTCTGAAGGATCCATGCCATTCCTGTTGACAGGTTTATTGATTCTCAACAATTCAATCTATTAACCCTTTTTGTTCTAGAAGGAGATGGCAGACGCAACACTTAGTATAAGCATTATACGTGATTTTATACCACACTTCTTTTTTAAATCGTCATTAATCGGGCCAGTCAAAGAAACTATCATCTCGTCACATTAAAAAAATAGTAAGGTCGGGTAATATATAATAAATGCGTGTATATAAAGCAACTGCTTATTATACATCAAACTCGAGCTGTTCGCATTTTCACGTCTAATCTATATCCGTAAACTCCTAGTAGTGCGTAGTTAAGACCGAAATCTTTAATTTTATTTCCCAACTGAATGAAAATTGGCCCTTCTTGCTCATGCCAAAATAACAATTGAAAGATGTGTTGATTTGCAATGGAATATAACCATATGCACAGGGTAGATTGCCAAAAAATAGATCAGCCACCCCAGTCACACGACCACACCCCAAATCACAAAAATTCCGTAGGACCCATGCAAATTCCCATTGGCAGGTTAATAAATCCCAGACGTTTCATGTTCCTAAATCTGATCGTCTAAAGATAGATTGCAGAAATTACGACGTAAAACATATAGAATCAAGTACCCCAAGTCATACGCAAATTTCGAAGGGCCCATGCATATATTCCTAATGATACATGTACCCGTAGGTTTATCGATTCCGAACGATTCAATTTACTACTTCTTGTGTTCTGGGATGAGATGACAGAAATTACGATATGAATAAAAAATATATAATTATCATCCACTCAGGAGCATATTCACCTGATTCAACGCAAAATACGTTTCATCTTTTTCTATGGTTGCAAAATGCGGATCTACAAGCCGCATGTAAACAGCTAGAGACCCGGATGATATGATGATTGTTTGAGCTCTTTTACTGTATGTGATGCTCCCCTTCACTCATTTTTCGCTCACGCCGTGATATTGCAGTTTTAGTCAATAATTCGGCATTTTTGATCACAAATGGCAATTATCGTTTTTGAGCCCTGTTGACCCAACTTGACCCAATTGTTTTTTTTTTTTTTTTTTTTTTTTTTTTTGTTTTTTTTTCAAATTCCACCACCCTTCCATTGTAATTCTCTCATTGACTACAAAACACAAATACTGGCAGGCATGGTTTGATTTCTTTAACGTTTACAGTAAACACTATAGGCCTACATCTGCGTCACCAAGCATACAAAATTGATATTCTTTCACTCCTGCACGTATTTTTCTATTTTTGTAACCTGTGCCAAAGAGTAAATAATGCCATGACACACCAGCCACCACACAATGGGTATTCCTACTGAACTGACGGTTGCTATGGTTAGGTCAGCGTCAAGTTAAAAAAACAGACGTCATCTTAAAGTAGTTATAAGCGGGTAAGGGACAAATAGGACGTATTTTAGGGATTGCATTAAAGCCACTTGATAGAAAAGCTGTAGGCCAGTCAAAAGGTACACTGAATAAGTGTATGTTTAACAAAGCTATTGCACCGAGAGGTATATAGAATTCCTTAAAACTCATTTTGGAGTGAGTGGTTCAATACCAAAGGTACAAAGGTATCACAACCAGCTTTCTGCGCCTTGTACATTTACAAGGAGAAAGTCAGATATGGCAGAAGCACTGGCAGCAGCTTTCACAGATAATCTCTTGACATGTAGCATCTGTTTGGGAGAATATGAGGACCCCCGTGTGCTGTCTTGCTACCATACATTTTGCTACGGTTGCATATGTGACCATGCTACACGAAAAATTACACGAGACCGGACATTTCCGTGCCCTCTGTGTAGAGAAGATATACCATTTCCAAGAGATGGACTTGTGAAACTGAAAAAAGATTTCCGTGTTCACAGAACAAAAGAACTCCTGAGTCAGCGACAGCAAGAAGAGGTCTCATCTCCAGTCAGAGAAACTGATGAGCATGGTGTGACACAAGCCATTGCACATATGGCCGTCAGTTGTGAGAGGCATCTTAATAATGAAATAAAATATTACTGTGAAGATGATGATACTGTTGTATGTGGTGACTGTATATTAACAGAACACAGTGGACACCGTATTTCATCAGTTGATAAAGTTGCAAAAAGCAATAGGGATAAAATTAAGGGGGCTCTTGCAAAAACTGAAAAAACGATGAACAGGTTTAATGAGGCAGTTGCCATGGAAACAGCCAATGAAGGAAAAGACTCTTACCTGTATATCAGGAGAGTCACGATTAAGACCATAAGAAAACAAGCTCAGAGCATGCGCAAATTCATTGATCAGAGGGAGCAAATACTTATATCAGAAGTGAATTCTGCTTACGACAATAGAAAAAAGCAGAAAGAAGCGAGCAAGGATGTCCTTGAACTCCACCACGTCTCCTTGCGCAGTGCCTGTGGCTTTGCCCAGCAACTAATCACAAATGGCACTGACTATGATATCATGATCCATGCAAAAGCTCTGACAGATAGACTGACGGAAATGGAAAAAACACCTGTCCCAACTCTAGACATACCTGTACAGATATCGTACAGCCCTGGTACGATATCTAATGCTGGACTGGAAGCCATGTTAGGACAGGTGACAGTAGAGTCGCAACCTTCATTAGCTGGACAAGAAACAAATCCAAGATCAACACCACACCCTCCTGTTTTCTTAGAGAAAGCAGATTGTGTGGATTCTTTCAGTGCTAAACCGAAAGATGATAGAGCAATAAACATACTTGGAATAGCCATAGATGAGGAACAAGTGTTTGTAGTGGATAGCGGAAATGACCGAACAAAATTGTTCACACATGCTGGAGAGTTCAAGTCTGACATTAGACTTAACAGACCATTTGACGTGGCAGTGTCGCAGGCTGGTTTCATGTATATAACATCACAGGGTGACAAACGTGTCAAAGTGTACCAATCCAAGGGCAAGCACATAACCACAATAGGTCAGGGTCATCTGGAAAAGCCACGTGGCATCACACTAAACAGACAAGGTCATGTGATGGTCTGTGATGGTGAAAAGAAATCCATCTTCACATTCCATGCAGAGAGTGGACAGCTCATGAACACTATTCCACTCAGTATGTGTACGGGTCCAGCATACATTACAGTGGACAGTGTGAATGATAATATTGTAATATCAGACTGGGGCAGTAATTGTGTGTATGTGCTGTCACCTGCTGGTGATCTGCTGTACCAGTATGGCACACAAGGCTCTGGTGATGGTGAGCTGTGGTCACCAAACGGAGTCTCTACAGACAGCTATGGTCACATCTTCATTGCTGACAGGGGTAACAACAGGATAGTGGCACTGAGTCCACAAGGACAGTATATTAGATATATTGCCACTAAGGATAATGGGTTGAATGATCCGAGAGGATTAGCCATCAGCCCTGCTGGCCGGCTGGTGGTGGCAGTGTGGGGGGGTAAAATAAAGACATTTCAGTACTTGCAATGAACACTGCTCACGTTGATGCAAGACTTGGGAAACAGCAAGATATAAATTCAAGATTAAAAAAAAACATTTAAAGCACCGACAGGATCAATAACAAGAACATTGCACAGCATGGTGACATATGTCCAAAGGCTCACGCGGGTGTTTCAAATCCAGCACAAAGCTGCTTAAAACATTATGTTGCCACGGATGTTATTCCAGTTTTAATTAGAAAGATATTAGATCCTTCGTTAGTATTGGCTAGACCAGGACTTCATAACCATGGGAAATCAGTGCCACACATGTGCCTGTCCATATTAGATTCAAGGTGAAATGTACAGAGACAAGTTTCTCCGAGAAAATATTTACATTACAAAGTTTGCCTTTGGTGTATTTTACACGTATATATCATCATTTAGACGCAGAACGAACTGCACCACAGTGTAGATTTGATAGAGATATTGCAGACGCATAATCATTTAAAGTGTGGGGGAACAACCAAATCGTGTATACATTTATTAACATAAGGCATTTATTTATTTGACCCTTATTTGTAAGACTACATCCCTGGCAGGATTATGCAAAGAGTTTGTGTACGGAATTTCCTGATATTTTCGATGGTCTGTTGATTAATTAATTAGATGTAGTTAATTTATAAAGTTTGTTTATTAGTAATATTGTGCAAAAAGATATGGTGGGGTTTTGATGATATTTAGGCAATGGTTTAATTGATTAATTAACTAATAAGTTACATAATCAATAATTAACATTCATCTGATTTATTACTTAGTTTATAAATAAACACATGGCCAGAAATGCGCAGCATTCACGCGATACGCGAGGGCGCTACAGTAGGGCTTCACATGACTCAACTAGCCAATCACAGCACAACAATAGCATCGCAAACAGACTCTGTGATAAGTGCTCAGCCCATTGTCAAGTAGTGTTAGTTCATGGTAACAAGTGTCTGACATGTGCAGAGAAGTTTATTGTAATACATATTGTTCTTATTGTTATATTATTAAATCTAACTCTGTATCCAAGTAGTAACTATACTGTACCAAGTCAGATATGATGTGCAGAGGTCATATATTCCAGAATAAGCCATTACCACTAATTTATAACTTTAATTTTGTTTTATATGTTATTCTTGAAAGAGTTCACGAAAGATTATTTTAATTTGTTAAATCGTGATCTTATTCTTTTTATATTCAAATAATTGAATAATGTGGGTAAAATTGGTCTTCCACTTCTTATTTGCATTTTTCCTTTACTACAAGATTATTTTGGAACAGTTGTAGCATTTAAATTTAAAATAAATAGCAATCTGAAAGAAGAATTATGCATTATTATTAAATGATGATAGGAATTTGGGATTAAGAGATTAGTTAAATACTGAGTAGTGATATTGTCAGTCAATTTATGTAGAATCTGATGATATGATTGAAAATACTGATTGAATTCTCGGCCTTGCACTGGGCAGTTTCACATTTGTGCCAAGTGCTTTTTTGGACTCCATTGTACAGTGGTAAAAGTTCTTCAATTGCCATGAAAGTTTTTAATCAGACTCTGTATGGTGCTGCTATCTGCTGGTGCTATCGGCAACGAATTACTTTGCCTTTGTTTCTGAGTGAATCTACCGTCTAAAATCACTATTTCTGAAAATATGTGCGTTTTGCTGAGGGTAGGCTAGGCAATACACGGCAAACTTCTTAGTACGTGTGTACAACAGAATTTTTTTAAAAACCCTAGCGATATTTGGTCAGGAGTTGCTTGAAGCATAGCACAGCGTTGCTGTCTATCGGCATCAGGCGGTTAGTTTGTCAATAAATTATCACGAATTACCCACGAATCGCGAACCCATTCATTTTCCTATGGCAATCTAGCAACTCATTAAAAGTGCACGCATGCGTGACGTCATGCAGTGCATTTCTGGGGATGATAATAAATACTGAGATTTGATTTTATTCATTAATAAAGTGATTAAATGAATGAATGAACTAAAAACTAGCCGATACCCATCACGTTGATCATTGCACCATGATAATTATAATAATAATAATAATAAGTAAAAAGAAAAGAAAAAAACGGGGCTGGTTGGGAATTGATCCCACGTGTTTGGCAGCCAAGGACGTTACCACCGAGCCAGCAAATTCTGCCATCTGATGCAGTGTTATCGACAGTATACTTGTCACACATGCCGAAGCTTTACATAAATAACTGAAGGCTAGAAAATGCCTTCAAAATATACTTTTAACAGTTAAAATCAAATTCAAACTAGGGCCACTATCTTCCCACTGCCCTAAGGTATTGCTAACACCTGCTGTTGACAGATCGTTGCAGTTTGGGAGAAAAAACGTTTGGCTGATCCGCTATTACTATAGGTGAGATGAGCTTCCCTGTTGCAGGTCTACATGTACACTCTGATAGCTTTTCTTGTTTACATGTTTATTTATTTACTAGGCCTTCTCTAGTTCGATTTTGTCTATTGATTATTTTATTTTATATCGTTTTTATTTTAATCTGATTAAATTAAGTGTCAACTGATTAAAGTGCCTATCTTGATTTTATTACAATTTCCTGGTTTGGTCCATTTATTTTAAAGATCCATTCATTATCCATGTTCTACAGTTTACTTTCCATGTTCTATTTGTGTACTTTTTAAAAAGCACAACGATACCTAAAACTAATAACAATTAAGTCTGGCCTCTTTTCGGCTTTAAAGCAATAATTTACCATATCCTATGATTTAAGCATGGACTCTTTATTGTGCGTGTGTGTGTGTTTTTTTTTTTTTTTTTTTTTTNNNAACAATTCAAATACATTTTTCATTACACCGTTTAACTAGAGGCTGCATTCTATTTGAGTCGTTCATGTAGGCTGCTATTTTTTGAAAAAAAAATTTTCACATTAATTAGTGTGAGCATTTCTCTTTCTCCCTATACATCAAAAACCTCTCACATTCTCTTCAACTACATGTATGCGTTTAGATGAGGACGACAAGCAGTACACACAACCTACATGTAGGAGCAAATATTGAAGGGGTTTAACTACTGCCTTCCCCTAGCTCTGCTGCCACCCAAACATGCGTTCTCAACAGGAGACCCTGGTACCATTGCAATTGTTCGCACATAACTAATATCCCTCCTTAAATTTAATGAAGAACGGCATGAGAAAGTGCCATTATGTAATAAAATTGCAATCAGAGTGTGATCATTTATGCATGCGAAATAAGTAGAGCACGTACCCCGACCAAACAATTTATTCCGTGTGAGATTTTTTATGTGGTTAACCTAAAATTAACGTAGCATTAAGTGTAATGTTTGTGTCATGCTGATATACGGCAATAACATTTCTTAACTCGTGTCAGTCAGGATCTGCGGTTGTGTCGCCACCTGTTGTCAGGTCAGTGATACTTTTAAACATATACGGGTAGCCCAGATTGTTTTGGTCTTTCCACCAGAAACGATATCGTTGTGTTTTCAAATCCTAGCCGCACCAGCGTTTCACGACCTCCAAAATGGGGAACAAGCATGGCACGTCCCTCCCTACTCACATTCTCCACGTTAAAACCGGAGACAAAAAGGGAGCTGGAACTGACGCCAATGTTGCGGTAGTGCTTCACGATGATCAAGGGAAGAAATCGGCCCCAATGACGCTGGATCGCCCCTTGAGAGACAGCTTAGAAAGAGGTTCGATGGACGCACACCCTGTCTCTGATACCTCCGGCCTTGGTAAAATTCGGAAAATGGAAATTACAATGGACGCGTTTGGTTTAGCGCCTGATTGGTTCGTGGAATCGGTTCACATTGAGCACCAACAGGATAAATCCATCCGTGTGTTTCCAATACACCGTTGGATCAGGCCCAAACGACACTACGTGTTTGATCACCTTGATTGCAAGCTGCCGCAAGACGATGAGCAAAAAGAACAGAGGAAAAGCGAGTTAGAAGAGAGAAGAAAACTTTATGAATTTGCGCCAAAAGCACCGGGCCTCCCAGTACAGGTAAAGTCATCACTGACGTGGTGAAGAAAATAACCCTTTTTGTAAACAGCATGAAATCTATAGATGAACGCCAATATTGTTCGCGACCATACTATTAGTCTCAGAATTTATACAATTGGACCATGAAATTGCGGTTAGAGTCATTAATTCGGAGATCAAAGTCACTAATTGGCGGTTATTATTCGCAACCGGCAATCGTCGAATAATACTAAGGACAGACGATTCGTGTACAGGCCTCATATAACGATGGAACTGAGCGTTAACGTTTACAAGCCCTGCCTCCTGAAAAAAATGTAAAAGGCATCGTCACCTAGATGATATCATCTTCCTTTTTTTTTATATATCTCAGTACATATTTTTTCTCTGTTGATCCGAGACGCGGATTTTATCACGTGTTTAATGATACACTCCCCGTTGGCATGGCCGTAGTAACAGAAATAGAAATACTTTGTCGACTTTTTTTACAACTCCATTTAATCTTTAGAATTATGTTATGACATGTATGGTTTTTATGTATTGAACACCACAGTTTTATAGTTGTAACATAGCAAGCTGCCTGTTCACAGAATGCAGGTGAACGGATTCACTCTGTAGATATTTTTTAACATTTTGCCTTACTTTATAATTTTATTATCTACCAATACACTATCAGTTTTAATATTGTTTATTTCTATGCTTTCTTTCATAATTCCATTTACTCTTTTGAATAACTTCTCAATGTTCAGGTGAACCAGTTGCCAGCTGATGAGGCAATGTCGGATGCTTACAAGGCAAGTGCGTGCCCCCTTAAATATATATAACTTATATATATTTTGTCAAGATAGAAAGAGGAGAAACCGTGTTTTGATCGTGCCTCCAATTTCATTTCAGATAGAAAAAAAACGAATTATAACCTTCTTGGTTATTATCATTTGCATATAAACAATTTAATTTAACTCTCAAACACGCACGTGGTGTGAGTATCACACCACCCTTACCAGCAAAAAAGGAAAAATCTTCATGGGGAAAACCAGAGTCCACCTGCTGCGGTTGAGCTGTTTCACAAAAGGACTTTAGTCCAAAAAATTGGTCTAAATTTTGGAAACAAAATATTAGTCTACTTTGTCCTAAGATCCGCTGCGGTTGAGCTATTTCCCCAGCAGTTTGGCGGACATGTCGGTTTTGCCTGGTGGTCACTCGGAGCTTGAGAAAGTGCTGGAAGTCCAAAAGGACCCCTCGGACGACCACAAGATCCAGGTCGAGATACACATGGCTTAACAAGGAGACAAACATGACTGATTATATGTTACTTACGGCTGACGGAGCAAAAAGTACATGTAATTGTGATGGAGACGAACATGTTATTTTGATGTCCGATTAATTACTGATTAAACCAACTGGGAAAAATTGTGCTTTTTATAGTACTCAGTTGAATCTATATTTGTGTTAATGTTATATTATATTTGTTTGTTTGTATTTTAATCCATTTGTTTGTCTTTTAGCTTGTTTATCTATTTATGGAAGGGATGTGTGCTCTTGATGGTATAATTTCTCGATTGCAGTGGGACATAGAATCCCGGAAGAAAACATTGAGTCGTCAGGCAGGTTTAACCGGTCTGATGACGCTGTCTGGAGAATGGGACAGTTTTGACGATATCTATGCCTTGTACTCCGACACCATTGGAAAACCGAGTGTAAGTCACATACCGCAGACTGCCACAAAATCGGACACTCCGGGACAGAAAAACATGTTCTATATTTGCGAAAGTTTTAGACTATACCTAGGAAAAGACATTTCACAAGATTTTTTTTTTTTTTTTTTTTTTTTTTTGAGAGAGAGAGAGAGAAATGATAATTCAAGTGACAAAGATCTTTTTGCCTGCAATACGGCATTTGACTCTTCCATTTTCGTCTCATCATATTAATATCTTAACCATAATTAAATCATTTTAAGTTGGACTTATTTTATGTTTTGTATCCCATTTTTTTTATTTTGGAGATAACTATCAAGTAATATACATGCATAAACACATTTGTCTATTATAATTAGATATTTTATTATGACTTAACTTGTACCATATGAGGCATCACAAAAAGTTCACACTGTGTCATGCAAAATTATTCTTTCATCTTTATGAAAATTTACGCCCCATTCTATATACATGTAACCGTGGATTATCACACGAGTAACACGAGTAACATGTAGTGCAGTACATATTGTAAGTACTTGGCTGTATCGTAGCATTAAAATGAATGCCGATTTATGTTCCGTCTCTGTTGATTACTACAGGAACAAATTTTGCACTGGCGAGATGACGAGTGGTTCGGTGCCCAACGTTTGGCTGGCGTTAACACAATACTTATTGCTCTATGCTCCTCCATTCCAGAGAAGTAAGTATGACTGAGGGAGAGAGTGTATAGCTGTTTAATTTCAACAACCTGTTTGCATTTTTATCAAATATTTAATTATTATTATTATTATCATTAAACTTACTATCATAATATGCTCTGTGTTAATGAGCATGAACGTGTGTGTGGGTGGGTGGGTGAGAGAGAGAGAGAGAGAGAGAGAGAGAGAGAGATAATTTGATATGATGTATGTGTATTTGAGTACGAAACTTATCACTCCAATCAATTTATAACATAATCAACTAGAAAAGCACTTAGAGAGCGCAGACCTCCGCCAAGGCAGCAAAGTCTCCATCCAGTGCCTTTTCACCCCTAAATTTTCGATATTTTTGATGATTGATTGATTATTGGCCCACTTCTGACAGTTCCTGAAAATTTCATCAAAATCGGTCCATAACTTTTTGAGTTATGTTGATGACAGACAAACAAACAAACAAACAGGGGTGAAAACATAACCTTCTTGGCGGAGGTAATAAAACACTACTGGTCAATTCAATCCTTATCTATTTTAATATTTAAATAAATCAACTACTTATCGTTAATACCTAAGGTTTGGCGTGACTGCAGAAATGGTGGAACCATTCCTTGAGGGCCTCACTCTAAAACAGGCCTTGGATGCCAAAAGGCTTTTCATAATAGATCTTAAGATTCTGGAAGGCATACGTCACAATCCAGAAACTGAGGTAAAGTGGATATCACATTTCTTGTACTTCATGGTATTAGGCTTGTGTGGGTCACTGATTGGGTGCAATTTTGGAATAGTCACAGTTCAAAGAGGGTTGGCATTATTGAACCTATTCAAATGGATTGTCCAAATTGACCCTCCACAAATGGGTAGGTCTTATTGAACTTCCACAAATAGTTTTATTTAAATGAAAAAATGGGTTGGTCCAATTAAACCTCTACAAATGGTTTGGCCTAATTGAACTTTAAAAATATAGGTGAATGTTTGGTGTAACAGAACCTTCACAAATGAGTTGGCCATGTTTAACCAAGACGGAAGTACATGTACGTCGAGTGAATTGATACCGGTAATTACAGCATTTTGTTTCTCTTACACACAGTACACTTGAAATAATACGTGCACGGAGTAACTACATATCTTGCCTTTTTCATACCTACGATACACACTAAGATTGGAGTGCAGGTAAGTTCAGTGCTATAATTTATGGGCATATCTGGGACAAAGAAAGCCCAGATACACTGTATGTAGTTATACTCCTTGCACTTCTTATTTTAAGCGCAAAAGGGACAAAATGTATGTCACAATTATTAATATTTCCGACGCATTTCCGTCTTGGGAGTTCTACCCATTCGAAGTTGTACCCAGTACCTCCAGAAACATACCAGTCCAGTCTAACCAGGCCCTGCGTTATCAACATGCTTGATATGTGGCAATGCTTCAAATACCTTAACCTAGTAAAGGCCACGACCTCACTGCAGTGATGATTTTTATCTTGATGTTGGCATGTTAACCACAATACTTTACGATGAATTTGATCGTGTAATCAGAGAAGAGTTACATCAGCTGCGTTACGTTAAAAGAAGAAAGTATATGTATTAACAGAAATGACGAGACCTCCCAGGCCCATGCACCTGTCTTTCTTAAAGCCTTCCAAGCCACGATTTTCAACGCAATCTAAGCATGAATTGTTTCTTGTTGAACTTATCTGAGGACAATTAAATATTTGAAAACGTATATAAATGGTCTTAAATAATACTGCCCCCTGTCCAACCTCGGTAGTCGGCCAACTTGATACAGTGTGAAAATAACGCGGGTCACGGCCCGAGAGTCTCGAAAGTCGTATCATGGAATGAATTGCATATCTGGAAAACATGTGCTTCTAATCTTTTGCTATTTACTCAGAATTGTAACAGAGTTACATAAAATGAAGATTAAAGGTTGTAAAGGCGGGAAAATGCCGTTTACCCCGGGCAAAATCGTTAAAAATTTAGTTTTGGGAGGGAAAATCCTGGCTTGGAAGGCCTTAGGGCCGTAGGTGGGGGCAAGTATATCTCCTGAAAAGCCGTGATGGAAATGTTCTGCGCAGAAAACGAAACATTTGAGGTAAGAAATTTGAATTTTAGAAAAATTAATTTTAAGATTAATTGAAATTCTGACCATTTAGCGGTTTGAACGACCTCCCATTGATTTTGCAAGCACTTTCTTGTTTCTAGATCGGTGCACCTCTGGTACTGTTCTTTCAAAAAGGAAATCAGCGTTTGGTGCCCGTTGCCATTCAACTCCAACAGGATAAGGGACCTAATAATCCGGTGAGTTTTCTAACTGTCAACTCTACTTCACCTTTCTTGTTGCAATCTTACAATCTTTCTCTGCATCTTTTTGGTACATTACATGAATGAAACATTTCGTGTATATATGTATACTTTAAGGTCGCATCTTCAAGACATATGCATCGCCGTTACATGTTTTACCTTGTACATTAAATCGATACAAGCATTTGTTCAGGGGAAAATTTCACAGGGACTGAAATCATCACAGACCGCTGATCATTTCATCAATAATTATGAAATGAAATAAGCTCGAAGAGCTAATACGATTTTCTGGTAAGGGTCTTTTCTCTTGTTGGTAGTATCTCAAAGTTAAATTCCAATTGTATTGTTACTGTTTGTATTGTTTTAATCCATTTATTCTGACTTACAATTGAAAGCACTAACTGCATTCAAGTCTTATTTCTAGTAAGGTTTATATTTGTATTTATATAGTCAAATGTTCACAAGCAAAACGAAGCTCTGTTTTTGCTCAAAAGTAAATAAGATAAGTCCATATGACTGAAAATTGTTATTTATTAATGACGAAAACTAATAAGATACAAAGTAACTGGGGGGATGATATAACATCCCCCAAACTATATAACTGCAATATCATAAAATTAATAAAGTAGGTTATTAAGTGCATCAAGATTAAGTAAGAAAAATATGAGAAACCACAACAGCTATTGGACCAAAAAGTTGACTCAAATGAAAAATCTCATTCCCGCCAACCTTATTACCAGTAAGGTTTATATTTGTATTCAAGTTCAATGTGAAAACCATTCTTCAGTGTAAAAACACAGCATTTCACTAAACTTTCGGTTTCAAGTAAGATTCAATCGGCTTCAGGCGCCTTTTGTTCTCTTCCATACTGAACTTCTTATGAAGATACAGCACATTGGTGAGCTGGAAAATCTTGTCAATGTTTTCAAATATAGCAAGCGCCGTAGTTTTAATAGGAGCGTCTCCCCAGCGGTTGTAAAAGATGCCGCCAGCGTGATCGATATAATTTAGGTACGCCCTCACATCCGGGCGACGCCAGAAACTGAACCGTGATATTTCAAAGTTGTTATACAGACTCAAGTTTTCTGGCAAGCGCTCAAGGAATGTTGGTGTTAGTTGGTGTTGGTGAACATACTTTGTGGCATTTCCTCTCAAGCCAGCTATACAGTCCGGTTTGATCTCAAATATGAGCCTGATATATGCATAAGTCAGATCACGATCCCGCATAAACTGAAATACGTCATACGTGACGTCATTTAGGAGTTTCGAGTCATCATCAAGGCGCCAATACCATTCTATTGGTTGTAAAATTGGTCGCTGGGAGACGAGAACGCTTTGAAATCTACACATGTGGCGGTACCCCATTCTGGCAAACCCACACGTGTGCAACCAGTCCTCTGCTGGCATTCTGATCCACTCCGGTATGATAAATTCCACGATTTGGAAAAATACATTTGACGTCGTCCATGATTTTATGTCTTGCTTGTGATTTTCTAACAGATCGGGCTCATGAAATATCACAATGGGATACTGGAAACGATTATTGAAAAATTTATCGATGCTCTGTATTGCACCACGGAATCTACTTATGCGTTGTGTGTTCAGAAGGTAATAGATCGTCGCCTTGGGTTTGTCGCTCGGCCATTTTTCCAACATCTCCATAAAGCGTTCATATTCTCCGTTGCTGAACTCTGCCTGCTTGGCGGTAATTTGTGACGTTGCGGAGGTTTGAACAGGGGCGGGTTGTTGCTGTTGCTGATACACTGGCTGCTGCTGTTGCTGCGGTTGCAGTTGCTGATAAACGTGTTGTGGAACATGCTGTTGCTGTTGTTGGAGTTGTTGTCGATCAGGATTCGCACGATCCATTGGCACGACTCGAAGTTCGGTCTGGGGAGGCTGGTATACCGAGTTGACCTGGCCCTCTGACTGTTGCTGGCCCTCATCCCCCATTACCGGCACTCCTGCAGGGTCGTCTTGATTGACTGCACCCTGCGGGGATTCTCGGTGACCAGTGTCCATGTCCACTCCATCTTTTGGTGGCGGCCGCGTGGGGGGCTCTTCTTGTTCCACGTTGTAATCGTCGTTCTCGGCTGTATGGCGCTCCAGGAAGCTTGCTCTTTCAGCCTCTAAAAATTCTATTCTGTGCATCATTTGGTTCGTCATCCTGATTTGGTGGATGACAAACGCGAGCGCAGTTATGAAGAAGAAAATGGAGACGATGATGAACCATCTGTACCGCATAAGACAGCGCATGCGGGGTATCTGAAGCAAAAAATAATTATAATTTTACTTCCGGGTTCAACTGTTACAATATAATTACCAAACTAAAATCTTTTTTCATATTTGTTTTCACTAGGAACAAAGGCAAAAGTGAAGGCCTGTGTGAAAAATTAAAGGTCGCTAGAATAAACGGGTGTGAAAAGAAAATTTGATAACAGGGTTTTGTCTCTTAATACATTTGGGCTGTTTTAAAATTAAGACAAAAATAATCGAATAACAAAATGTTAACGAAACAATGTACATGTATGCATGGAAAACTCGGGATACGTACAGATAGTAAACAAACGACTTAGGTTTGAAAAAAATGTTAACAAAGGTTTCTCAACAGTTTTGGGCCAATAAAACCCAGATTATTTCCCACCGGAATCAAATCATGCCAAAAAATCCTAAATGGCTGCCAATGCATAGAGGAGGGTGTTTACGTGGGCATATGATGGAAACTGGGTAACTTACAAACTTGTGGGAGATATCATTTCTAATGTTCATGGCCATTCATTTGAAAAAAGTTTGGACGTCATCAGAGGTCAAGGTCATGCCTAAATGTCAAGGCCAATTTCGAAAAAGGACCAAAATAGTTTAAAATACAACATCAACTTTCTTTATTCTTTCAAAAATGAACTTTCTTGTTTTTTTATACCTCTTATTGAGAACTGCACACATGACGCCACCTTTGTGAATGTTGCATTTAACTGACTAAGGATAAAATAATGTATGTCAATGTCAAATTTGCATCTTAAAAGATACAAAAGTAAGCTTGATGGTCCCCAAATTACATGCCAAACTAATCAAATATAATCGTTTGATGGCCAAATCTCCTAATGATATTAAAAAAGTTGAAATTATGAAGTAAAAGGACAGTACTTTGTTAGCGAAGAGAGGCCAAGGTCATGTACGTATGTCAAGGTCAAACTCAACAATGACTTGAGATGTAACTATATTTTTGCTGAACTTTGTAGAAATGTTCACTTAAAAACATATTTAAATGTCATTTTTAGTTACAAAATGTCACAAACACAAGGCAACATTATAAAAAACGCGTATATTGATGCAGCTTTGAGACAATGTTTACAGTCAGGCATACAAAATGTGCCTATGAGCAGAAACACAAGCACACGGACTTTCAAATGCACATTTGAAATTGTGCTTGTGGATGCAACGTGACGGACAGAAATGGAAGGACATATGAAAATGGCTCACGCTGTCAGTCAGTTATTCCAGAGGCAATTACAAGGTAACATACGGGACCCTGCAGTCATCTACACTGGTGGCACCGTTAAAGTAACAGCACCATAGATGTTCGTATACCCTACCAGATATGTAGTTAGGACAGTGCATTGTCAGCAACTTTTATTATTAAGTGACAACAACCTGTCAAAAACCTGGTTTTACCTAGGATCAGTGAACGGCCGTCTCCTCAATGATGACCTAAGATAAAGCACAGAACATCAGAAATCTCTTATGACACAACAAAGAATGGATCCATCAGCTTGTTTACAGGCAATTGCTTCATTCGTGTGTCAGAATTTCTGATAAACTGAGATTCCTTCTTGAAGTTTGTTGTTCTGATGGCTAACTCCGTGTTCATAGTCATGTTTGTGCGACATTTTCTTGAAACTGTGATGAAAACAATTGTTCATGGCGGCGATTCAGCCCATTTGTGACTTGCCTTATTTACCATAGGGCAATGCTGGGGTACTCTAAACTGGGCTGTATGAAAAAGAGGGGTCCAGAAAACTATTGGACAAACTGAAATAGACTCTTATTTAGGAACGGGTCGATGGTAACCAGAGATTTATCTACAAACTTCAAGAACACGCGGACTTTCACGACATCCTAATAAGAGGAGAATAACAGGATGACACTGGCATTTTGTACAATTTTTTTTTTTTTTTTTTTTTTTTTGAGAAATTTGTGAAATGAACAATCGATCAGCAAAAGGAGTTTAAATGGAAATGAAATAACAATAATTATGATAAATATTCTAATGATCTTGTTGAATGTTGTATTTGTCTTACTTATTGAAGTCATATTGAGACCTTATTGAAACCACGGATGAAATGNTTTTTTTTTTTTTTTTGAGAAATTTGTGAAATGGAACAATCGATCAGCAAAAGGAGTTAAAATGGAAATGAAATAACAATAAGTATGATAAATATTCTAATGATCTTGTTGAATGTTGTATTTGTCTTACTTATTGAAGTCATATTGAGACCTTATTGAAACCACGGATGAAATGTTCTGTTGAAATATTCCATCATTGTATCAAGAGTATATATTTTTGTAGAAACATGGTGTGATGTGTATTTCATGCCATTTTAGGTTTGACCTTGTTTTAAGTTTAACTTTGAGACATTATCTAATCCTGCGCCATGCAATCCGTAAATTTGATCTCACATATTATTAAGAGGCCTCATCATCCGTGAATGTGGGTGCGTAAAATTTGAGAGAAATAACAATACAGGTATTTTTTATTTAACTGTTTTAATTACGTTTGTGCCCATTTGACTTAAACACTTATTTCCTTTACCTTTGTTCAGTTGAATCCCACAGTAAAATGATTGCCTTTTGACCAAATTGCTTAATAAATAATTTTTTCTATGAAAATTATAGTTGGACGTATTTTAGACCATTTTGATCCCGTTTCGAGACTAACTTTGACACACAAACATGACCTTGACCTCTAATGATCAACAAATTGCTGTCCTTTTTATTTCATG